TGAAATCATAAGGTCAAAGGGCGTAATTTCAAGCCCCAAAAAATAAATTAATATAACTTATCCGGGCCACAACGACAACGCGCACCCAAAAAGCATAAAAAAAAACTCCAAAGCGGCCACCTTGGAACCCAACACCCGCCGACACCCGCCCTCACCCGACCCCTCTATTATTGGGATGGCTGAACGGGGGTCAATGTTGGCATCTATTCCATACATGCATGGATGGTCTAGGTTATGATAGAGCATCCCAACATCACTCTCTACTACCTGTGGACCTGCCAAAGGAGTGCCATTCTGGGTCTTCTGGCATAAATTCCAAACTAACAAGGCACGACGAAGCTTGGCTGCAGTGTGATCCATTTCTTCTGCCGTTTCGGGCCTTTTCGGGTTTTCCATTTTGGCCGGTTTGCTGACCGCACCAGTCTGCAACCTGACTAAACAAGACAATGGAACATGACTGTGAACATAAGGAGCGGTTGCTCGACTAGAGGCACACGTTGCATCCGTAGCAACTAGCACTGAGAATTTGGTTGGCCAGGATGTCAGTTACTGATGTCAATATATACTCATCCCCAGCGGCTTGATTCCAAGACATCGGCACAACCCTAGAAGCTGTGAACAAAACATAACGAAACCTTCTAAGCCACCAGGCTCTTGTAATCATCTGGCTGGACGTTGAACCGAAGGGAAGGCTCTTTCACCGACTTACAACTCGGGCCGCACGTGGCACCGGCGGAAATGGGCGGCACAGGGAAGCCAGAAAGGCTCGAGGCGTTCCGCTCGGAGGCGTCGCTATAAAGCCCCGCCGGAGGGAGTTCAGTTCTGCACATGTGCCACGGGAGAATGGTCAGGTCGGTCCCTGTGGGCTGGAGGGCCACATGTTGGGAACATGGCGGGGAACTGTTTGACATGGGCAGGTTTATGGTGGTCTTCAGCCGTGGCTAATGTGTCTTGCATGGTCCTTCTCAGACACGGCCCGCACGCCCGACTTGTGCAAAGGCGCTCTCGCCAGTTCTCGCCGTCCTCGGGGTGAGATGTGGGTTGAGATGGTAGATAGGCATGTGGCCAGTTTCTGAGCAATTGTCACCAAGTGATTGAGGGTGAACGCAGTGCTTTGGGTGAACGGAGTGTCCTGATACCCTAGTCCCAGAAGTTCAATCACAAACCTTGCCCAATTTCTTGAGAGATTAGCCCATTGTCTGCAGTCTGTCTATGCTAGGTGGTGGAGTTATCATTCCACCATCCCACAAAACAAAAGTTGCCAAGTGAATTCACCATGCGGCTTTGGTGCCAAACTGCCATCACACTATTACACATGTTCACACTCTTCGTCGCACATCTCAAGCTTTGGACGTCTCTAACTTGGCCGAGACATCGGCCCAGACCCCATCCATCGCGGCCTCACACACCACCAGCCCAATGGCTGTGCTGTAGCAGCCGAGACGTCAAACGTGCAAAGGTGGATTTTTCTTGAGAAAAAGGCAAGTTCAGTCTAGCACCCAAATGGCCAAACATGGCCAAACCAATTCCTTGCTATCACACACCGAAGGGGATGATCTTGCTATGAGGATCTATGAGGGATAAGAAGTTTCACTCTTAGTCTGTCACACAGTGGACCGACAAACTCCACTTAAAGCTTGGGACGTCTCCATCTTTGAGTTCCAACTCCACCAGTTCCCCAGTTCGCATTCCTCCACCAACACGGCTCCTAGTTCAAGTTCCTATTTGGCCCTCTAAAAGCTGCCAAATGGGGGTTTGTTATATAATCAAGAGTGTACATTAGTTACATTAGTCAGTTGTACTTGACACTTTTAGAAGCCATCAAAGAGAACATGTGTGAACCGTTAAAACCAACGAGTTCAGCCGGTCACAAGCGGCACCGGGATGCAGCCCCTCCGTTTTTTAGGCGATGTCCTGCCTGATCAAAGCCGCCCTCTATTTTCAAAGGCCAGGGCAGGAAATGGGCTGAAGCCACACAAAAATCAATGCAAGGTGAATCCTGGTGAAATGTGCCGTCTTACTGTTCTTTTAACCAGCTGCATGAATGCCATCAGGCCGGGAGCTTCCCCGAGATCAGTGACGTGGACCACGCAGTTCAACGCTGATGTGGCGCTCGTCCTCTGTCCTCTTTTGGAGCCCGCAAATGGCTCTCCAAACAAAGCTACCATGAAGCAGCCAGTCGAAAAGTCCTGTCAGGCTGTCAGGGTCGATGGCTGCCACTCATCCGGCGAAGGTCTTAGCTGTCTTGGCGAATGAGAAAAACAAGTCTCGGTGCAGGGCATATATGCCAGTCAATTGGGGTGGTTGAAAAGGGGTCAACATGGGTCAATGACTGGGTCAATGTATTCCAGTCCCATGGATGGTCTGAGGATTTAGAGGTGCCTTTGTCATGCATTGTCCCCTATCATGTTGAGTAATGTGGAGTATCGCATCCGACTCCGCCATCGACCCCGGAGCTACCATACAGATCCCTTGCCACGGCTTTTTGAGTTCAAAGGAGTGACATCAGCCGGTGACATCTAGACAGTCGCCTGCGATAAACTCCTACGCCACGCATGAATCCAATAGGTTTGCGACGAAGTATCTTCCTTAAGGAAGATCTTCAGGAACGCTAGGGTTGGGGCGCGTCTGCTACTTTGCAAAATACGAACTGAGCATGAACATGCCCTGCTGGTTGCTCGATGACTGGTTGAAGTTCAACGAATTGATGGACCAGCCATCATCGCCGCCAACCCTCCCAAAACGCGTTGGCTGTTTCAAAGATTTCCCTGCACACCACGATGGTGAATTCCACGAAAAACGCAGCAGCTGAGCTGTTCGAGAAATTGCGTGCCACGAACATTAAGAGATCCATTGAAATCCATATTTCCAGCGAGCTTTTTCTCCAATTGTTCAGCCAAGCCGGGGGGACTTGCTGGCATGCTGGCATGCCAGACCACTACTACCCCTAGGACTCATGGTCTGGCTCCCCCAGGCGCTGTGAGGGGGTAACCATGCAAAACAAAACAATTAGATGACACGGGCCAACTCCGGTCGAAGACACATGAACAAAGTCTTTGGCAATGCAAATCTGATTGAATATCATCTGCTGGGTGAGTTTCAACGAAACTGCCAGCTTACAGCAATAAATCAACACTTATTGGCCTAGCTAACAATGCCTAACATATAATACAGTAGGCCTATCCCATCACCAGCCTCGGACGAAACAAATCCAAAACTGTCACAGGGTGTGCTGCGCGCCGCGCGTGTGCTGCGTCTGGTGTGCTGCGCCCAACACACCACTTGATCCCATTTGATCCGGAAAACACGTCGACGTACGAGCTCGATGACGAACAATGCGGTGCGGCCGCCGGAAAAAACACGGGATCTTCTGTTTGGGTGACGCCACTGCGAGTGGGATCTTGGCTGCTGGAGTGGGTCACAGTGATTGAGTAGTGGTTTCGGCGGAGACAAAAGGTGAGCATGAGTTAAAGCATGTCAAAGCTGTAGGACAAGATCTATGTGAGTGGTGACATGGCGGCCGGGCTTGTTCGAACCCGACCAGTTGTTGGTGACCCCACCCATCAGTAAATCGGAAAGTAACCAGCTCTCGGTCGATGCAACGAACTCAGGTATCTGCCCAGCTGGATGACACGCGAATTGGCCTGTGCGTTTGTAGCACATACCTGCCTCTGTGGCTCCTTGTTATCTGTCTCTGTCCGGGGCTTTCCTGAGAGGTCTTGAGAAGTCGTCGAGCAATTCCCAGGCCCTGCGGTCACTATCCCCCGCGAATTGAATTGGTTCCAGCAATTAGGTTGATGAAGCGCTGCCCGCAGCAGCACGACCCCTAGAGAAAACAGCACCTGCAGGAAACCCACCAAACGAAGCTGGACGAGTCCAATAGCACAGGAAAACACATGCAAAAACCTCTGGTGTCAGGTTGAGCCACGAGACTGAACCACCTCCCCAAGAACCCCACTGGCATGACTAGGCCGGCTAATAGTCCATTGGACACCCAGACAGGATGGTCCTGGTATATATCATTATCTATCATTCTATATCATTCTATCATGTACTAGAACAACCACCCGGTTGGAGGATCGAACTCTGCATCTCCAAGGCCGAGGACCCTCCGCACTACCCTCCGCGCCGTCACGGCGCGTTTCTGCACGCCCGGTCAACCGGTTTCCCCAATGGTCAGGGTCACCCGATCCGGGCCGATCCGGCCCTTGGTGCCAGTTGGCCTACATGTCAGGGTCCCAAACATGTCAAAACCCTTTGGACATCTGGATGGATCAAAAGATCTGAACAAACCGGATGACCATCCCATCTTCCAGTGCTGCTGCTACCCCCGAAAGGTGGCCCCCAAAAAGTTCCTCTGGAAAGCCGAGACACTGACGGCACCATGATGCGCTTTCTTATTGCGCACCCTAAAACGGGCCGAGTAACACCAGCAAAGCGCTGATTGCGAGCGTGCGCGAGCCAGTCTCGAGAGAGGATTGGACATCACAACCCCAAGTCCGCGCAAGAATGACAGCTCAAGAAGTCACTGGAACGCCTGCTCCACTGAAGAGATTCATTCATTGGAGTCCATGTTCCATGGTTTGGGAAACGAAGGTGGATCACGAAGGTGGAGTCCTTAATGTGGAACATGGAGATGAACCAATTGAAAAAAAAAGAACTGCTCTTTAAGGTGTCCATGCCTTCAAAATCGTAGTGACCCCCACATTAATCCAAAAGATACAAACAAGATCAAACAATTTAATAACTGAATTACTGAATTTACTGAATCAGTATGTTTCAGATTTGTGTCTATCTACCCGGACCTTCCAACAGGTCACCACCAGGTTCTATGGTAGATACATGTAGGTCATGTAGGTGTACCCCTGTAATCTGACACCTTCTAATTCTAAGGAACTCGATCAAGCAGGCAGACTTTCGGTGGCCTTCCACCCTCTGTAGCATCCGTAGATCTAAAAGCCAGCGGAATAGAAGGACTGAATCTGGGGATTCCCCCAAGTTGGAGTTCCAGTTTCCAACATCTGCTCCATCACAGGGAGTCCAGTTCCAGACAGCTGGAGCTGCTACGATCCTTTTCACCAGCCCTTTGACTCTTTGACCCTTGTGAAGCCTGCTACTTCGACCATGGTCTCAACGGCCTACAGCCGCCGCGCGGCCAGACCATGTTCCGCCGTCATCCTTTAGGAGCGGGACTCACCTCGACTGGAGTTCGGGGCTGACCTGAGTACGTGGGGGGGCGCGTGCGGAGCACCTGCAGCTGGGTCAGTGCAGGAAGTAAAAAGTGAAGCAACCCACCTACTTGACGAACAGAAGATGTAAACGGGTTTTCTGAGTCCAGTTTCAGGACCTAGAAGAGGAAGTGGTGAGCAATGAGCATGACCTTTTCTTTCCCTTCAAGGGCCAGCGAGGGTGTGGAATACCTTCATCTGCACCAGCCGGACATCCACCACATATCACATATATCCACTACATATATCATTTAGTGCCCCTCAAATCCATGGAAACTTCATCTGGCCTGATATTTGCAAGTGGTCACTGCAGTTGAAAACTCCGAACTCACAAACCTCATTCCGCCCAGCCGGTGCAACCCCATTCAGGGTCGGAGCCGTTCCTCCCGGGGGGGGGTGGGGACGCTTCCGGCCCCTCCGCCGAGCCGCTCGCCCGAAGGATTCTTCGCCGCGAGGACCTTCAGCATGGAGCGCAATTCCTTGACCTCCTGCTCCATACGTGCCAACGGGATGCCTGGCGGGTCGCCCGGCGCAGAAACGGAGCATTGGAACGGCGAACATGTGCGAACAAGGTGTTGAGCGAGACGAAGTGGAGTGGAGAAACCGTTTGACCCCAAAGAGGACTCACGACGGGTACGACAAAACAATCAGCACCTTCTGCGGTTCCAGCACCCTCTGCGGTTCTGCAAACGGTAGGAACTCAGGTGCCAATTCTCCATGGCCCACTCATCATGGCGGTCTCACCGCAACAGTCAACCACTGTCAAAGGCCAAAAGCTTTGCATTGACATGTTTGACACGATTAAGAATGAGCATGACCAGACTAACCCGGACCAATAAGGAAGCTCACCGAGGTTCACTGATCACATATGTCATAGTGAATACAGTAGAAGAATAGAAGTCGTCTTGGATATTCATCAAAACTTGATGTTCAATCTGCACTGTGTTTTACACTTGTTGTGATGATATGCACATATAATGCCAAGAACCCATTCATTTGACCTCTGCAGTGATAAGAAAAACATGTTTGTTTTGGCTCCAAGGCAGGGGTCAATTGGCTCCAAAACAGGGGTCAATCAGGTTCTATGTGTACAAATACTTATATAACTTATATATATATATATATACAATCTATACAATATTCATGATATTGTATGATATCAATCCCACTTACACTCGCATGACCCCTGAGAAAGGTCGGCCTCCCGATCTTCCGGAAGCCGTCGAGGGCAAGGAAGAGGTCTTCTGATAACCTCAGTGAGGGGACTGGAGGGGACCCAGTTAGGACAGGAACGGTTATCTATGGCCCAATGGCGGTCATGGCGCCGAGACACCCTGGTTTTGGTATGAACAACAGAAGGTCAACGATCTGGGAGGTCAACCTACCCTGATCGTTTAGGGGCTCTGGGTTTTGACGCGCGGCCAAAACCCATGTGTGTACATGTATGTAACCGTTCCAAGTTCCGTGGATAACCCCATGAATGTTCACAAGGTTCAATTGGAACAAAGATATCAAAAATCCCCTCTTGATGGGTTGGAACGGACCAGCCACACAAGCCAAAATCAAACAGGATATGTTTTCTTTGATTGAAGTTGGATATGGATTGAAAACACCCAATTTAGATGATGTTGAAGTCTCACTCAAAAGGCTTCATGCAAAAGCTGCCACGGAAGCAACAAAATCAGCCAAAAGGTCGATCGAACAAACGGGTTTCCTCGTTTCCTCTTTGGATGTCCCCCCCACATTCTATCCACTTCAGGATTGCTGTCATCATGTCCCCCCTCCCATTGTTGCCTCAACAAATGAGGTCGGGTTGCTTGGCCTCAATGTTTTGCACAGCAACAAGGACCCACAAAGCTCAAAGGACATAATCCCAGCCCATCCATATGCCCACATTCACCCCGAAACCACCCCAATGTGTGCTCTTTTGCGCCATAGATGGAGTCTGCTTGGTGCCATGGGTCACGACGGTCATGACCGGTTTCTCACCATGTAGGGACACATTCACCAGGTTTCTCCACTTTGATGACATGGGGATCGTCGAGCTGAAACCCAGCTCCAAGGCAACATACCCCAGATTCTCGGTCGATGCATGGTGTTCTGGGGCCCTGACTGAGCAATCCGGTTTGCTTGCTGGCGTTTTTTTGCCCAAAGCACGTAGTTCTAGTCTTAGCATGTGTCAGAGTGACTTCCCAAACAAGCCGACCAGTTAGGCGGCTCCGTCCAGTCGTGCCCACTCGGACGACCGCCAGGCTGCTGCCCCCCGAGGACGTCGAGGTGAGGGACGTCTCAGCAAACGTGCGAGGGAAGCACGGCTGATGCCAGCACCCAGCGACGAGAATCATGATGACTAACAAAGAACAAACGCGCAAAGAGCAAACACTATACCCATAATTATGACCGATTATCAATTGCGTATAATTAAGTATACTATTATGTATAATATTGATGTAAAATATTGTAAAATAACATTAACGCAAACAAATCACACAGAAGCAAAGTGGTTTCTCTACCATGCTCGCTCCGTGTATAGGTTCCTCATGACAGTATTCAAACACCTCACTTGGGGCGGCAGGGTCCAAACAGTGAATCCACAATGTTGGCCACCTGCCTGCTAAGGCGAAACAACCTCGGACATCCTCGGACGAAGGCTTAACGAATCTTAAGCATGATCTCGCTCTCTCGATCTCGAAGCTCAGGTGGGCTACGACTACGCTGAATTGATCCCCCTTTTGTTGAAGTAAAACCATCTCTCGAAGCACCCAACTCTGCCAGGTCTCCACCTGCGACCTTCAAACAGTCTTCCAAAAGCCCACCAGTTCGGAGGCCTGTAGAGTCAGGGGGTCCAAACCTCGAGCCTTGGTACCCCCCTTGGTAGACCTTCGTTGCTCCCGCTGCTCGGGGCTCAGTGGCGTGGGTTTGGTAGACCTTCTGCTCTTCCTCACTCGCCTGCGAGGCTGCCTGGTCGCCGTGGCGTGACGCGGCGCGGATGCGGACCAATCCTTGGACTAGACTGCTATATATAATAATATCTGGCCGGTCAAGCATGCCTGAGGCATGGGTGACACCACACTTCTCAAGACGCGAAAAAGCTGCATGTTCAAGCCTTACACAAGGTAGAACCCATTGTTGCGACCCTTCTCTTAATAAGACACACATTCTGCACGGCAGAAGCACCATAGGTGGGTCTTGTACCCAAGGCGAAGTCCCTAAACGCAGTTCGCTGCAGTGAAACCTTGTGGGAACATGTGGAAAACCACAGCTCACCGAGAGAACCGTCGTTGGCCCAGCGGGTCAGGTCTGCCCGTTTCGGGGCCAAATGGGTGGTCCCCGGCACGCTGGACGAAAGGAGGACGCATGAGCACACCACGGTTCCCACCGAGAGCGCTGTCAATTGGTGCGACTTTTGGTGAAAACCCCTTCAGTTTCTCCCCTGGGGAAAGAAGGATTGGCAATTTCGCACGGATCATGATCATGTCATGTTGGATCATGAAACCGTGCCCCAAAAGGTTTAAGGATGTTAAAGGAAGTGGTTGAACGTAAGCCACCGTTTTGTTTAGTAATGCTACACTAGCTATAGTCGCACAACACATGGAAGAACATATCATCTATAGCTTGCCAAATCTTAGATCCCTTGCTAAGGGTTCCATTCTCATTTTGTTTTTCCTAGAACAAGGCCAGGCGCTTAGAGGCGAAGGTCAGGGGTATTGGTCGGATGGATGTGCAGCTCAGCCACTTGCGGCAAGTGCGGCTTGTGAAAGCCTCGGGTTTCGTGGGTGGTTCGATCGTGGGGTTGGGGGGATCTCAACAGATCCGGCTCCTTGAACGGCCGAGGTGTCCTTTTTTCGGAGAATTCCACAAAGATTCCAACGAACTCAATGGCTCTGTACCTCCTTTCCCCTGCAAAAAACAACATGGATTTCAGCAATAGAGCTGACATGTCGAAGTCTCGACCGCTGCCTTTCTCCTGACTTCAATCAGGTAGTAGCGCCCAATGCTCGTTGTCATAGTGCCAGCAAGACGCTGACATCTAAGGTGCCTCGCATCCCCAAGGAACTTCTCTTGCCTCAGGAGCTTGGCACAGGAACCACATGAAACCGATGCGTTTGGAAAAACCTGGTTAAATAGTAAGGCGCTATCTTCTACCAAAAAAACTCCAAAGTGGATTCCTTTGGTATGCTTGCTTGGGTTCTTGGCCCTGCTTCATTGACCCGCATCCATACATTCCATCATGCTAACTATATTAGTGGGAATAAGAAGTGTTCCCACAATGATTCCCAACCCTGGAACAGTTTTTTGGGGTCGGAATTGGAATGACACATTTTTCACTCATGGTGTTTGTCTCTAAAACTCTTGTTTCAAACGCATCGTAATCACTGCTGCAAACATTTGTTCAAGGTGACGACGCCGACAATGGCTCTTGCTGCTACGGCTGCTATGACCACTACAACTACTACCACAACTATGCCACAACAACAGCAATGACTACAACAACAACTACTGTAGGTGACCGTGTGTGCCAGTGCAGTTCACACCATCTTCTGAAACGGTACTGTAGTTCACATGGTCTCGGAACAGGATTTGATTCCCACGCCTCTGAAATCTCGCCCATGGCCGACCGAGGCGCCATCATCCTCGCTTTTGCCGCTTTTCCCGCTCCGCGAGGAAGAGTGGCTGCTGGCCGGAGTGGAAGGCATTGAGAGGCCTGGGTTCCCGACGTCGGGCCAAACGTCGGTTCAAAAGCGGAAGTGTTTTGGTTCACGCAGCTTTTCAGGTGCAAAACCACCCTAACACCACCCCTCTGCCGCACGTATTCACCTCTTTGTCTGCACTGGACTTCTCTTCTGCCCCAGTGGCTCTTCTGGTAACTGCTGGTGGACATCGTCGACTCAGAGGCCACGTCCGATGGAGCCTCAGCGGAGGTGTCAGTCCTTGGGCTGATCCCTGAGAATGCTTAGCTGTTGCACCCATGGACAGAAAAAATGGTGCCATATGTTGCCAGCGCACCACTATTGCAAAAAAGATGCCAAAACGGGTTGATGAAGGCTTATAGGGGAGAAAAACAACACATCCCCTCTCATCACGTCTCGATTTTTCTCTTGATCCGACGGTGTCTTCCCCTCGTACTGCTTGCAAGCTTGGGGTTGGTTCACAGGATTCTGAAGTCATTCACCCCGTTCTTCTTCGACTCGCCATCTAATTAGTTCATCATGACACTGTGCTGGTGTTGCCTGTCCAAACCTACTCCCTTCAATATCTTCCCTAGGGCTCCAAGTACCTTCTGAGAAGGTGTTTAGGGTTTTAGAGGGTCCAAATACCTTCTGAGGAGGTACGACTGGAGCCCTAGGGCTTCAATTCTATCTTGACACATCGTCTGCCAGTCGTACCGCATATCCCTCCTTCGAACCTTTACATCCTCGGCCGACGAACGGTGCGAAGGACGAAGCTCGACGACGTCGGGCCGAAACTTGGGAAGCTCGGAGGGCGCCAGCAGGGCCAGCAGGCCCAAATAGAGAGGATGGCACGGTTTCCAATACATGTTCTACGTGGGATCAACTCTCGACTTGATCTCTCGACTCAGGGGGTCTATATCTGTAGGTGCCCATATAGACCCTAGGGATCCAAGTACCTTCTCAGAAGGTGATTGGAGACACTCTCATGTAGTTTTGGAGGGTCCAAGTAACTACCTTCTGAGAAGGTACTTGGATCCTAGGGAGATGAAGTCGCACTCACCTGGACTTTCTGACGTCGGTCCCGTAGGACGCGATCCATGTACGTAGTGGGCTGGGTATTCCGTTCACCTGGGGAAGATCTCCTCTACTAGGGCCCCCGGTTTGGTGTGTCAAATCATAGCCGCCTAGAGGTTATATAAGGGGTACGGTACGGGTATTCATGAACTACCCGCCCGTTAGGATCCTGTAGGTGACCAAGTTCCAATCCGGGATGGTTTAAGGTTCGAGGGTAGGAGTGCCGTCGGAGTGCCCATCAAAACCCTTTGGAACTTCTAGAGGGTTAACATCTAATTTGCTCTGCCAATGGGCACATTTCACTATGTGACCCGGAGCATGATTCACCAGCCCACTCTTTATGGAGTTTGGATTTGAAGGCTGTTCAACGGCCAATCCCAAACTACCCATGGGACTCGGACTGGTTACAAGGTTATATATATATATGTGATGTGTGTATGTATATATATATATATATGTGTGATGTGTATATATATATACATACATGATCACATACATGTAATAACAAACCTCAGTGTATGACATGTATGACCCTTCCATGGTGGCAGAAACCCTTCCAGTTCCATCTGGATGCTCTGAGTCTTCCCAGTCGAACTCCGAGCTGCTCGGGGGAACCGCTCCAACCACTTGCCGCTGCTGGGCGTCAAAAAGCGAGGCTCCAGCAAGGCCTTGACATCACCACCGAAACGAAAGAAACGGAAGAAGGCCAGCGACCGAAAGCTGGCACATATAGAATCACCACCTTCACATCCCTCGACTATATATACTATATATGTTATAAAGATGTTTATAGGAGGTTTGGGGGGAGTGAATGACCAGAGGCCAGCATTTCTACCAACCGTTTCCGCGGTTTGGGGTGTGTGACTCCGGCAAAAAGGAGCGGGGCAGCGGCAAATCCAGTTCCTCGGACACGGAGTGTGGCGCTTCCCATACTTGTGGGCAGGGCATTAGTCCCTCCCCGAAGAGCCACAACTTTCTCTTGATGTTCATCTTCTACAACTCGAACCGCTGTTTTGGTTGTTGAGGGAGGCTCCAATCAGTCTGACACAAAGCTGGGCTGGGATATGACACTGCAAAGAAGACTTGAGGTCTCTCGGGCCGGGCTGCGCCGTGGATCTGTGATTTGGCCGTGTCCTCAAAGCGCAGGCACAAGGTCAGCCACAAGGCTTGGTTCGGTGCGCTGGGCTTCTGGATGAGGCATGGGTGTCCTTAGCAGAATGGGCGGGAGAAACCTGTGCGCGTTTTCCTGCGCGCGTTTTCCTGCCTGGGGATCCCAAGAAACTGCTTGCCAAATGAGGTTGCATCTGTCACCTACACCAGGTCCACTCACAGGCCTCCATGTCCAAACCATTTGTGGGACTGGAATATCTATAACTTGGGTATATCCCACTACCAGTAACAGTGGATGATGATGCTTAGGTTGCAGGCCATTCTCTCAATTAGTGTTTTGCTTGTGAAACCCGACTGCTAGAGGTTTCTGACTGGACGTCGACCCTATATATCTAGCGCGACAGACCCGATAGGTCCGGTCCGCCACGAAGCAAACACACATATATATATATATATATACCTGGAGCCTGAGTGACCTCTGTTTTGATAGGAACAGACCATATTTTGGATAGTTGATCCTCCAAAATAGAGGTCACTCAGGCTCTAGGTATATACATATACGGGTGTCTATAAAACGACACCCCTGACAATGTAATTATTTCGATGCATTTCCCTCCCCAAGAACCACCCGTTGTCGCGGTGATCCATGCTTTCTCCTTTTCAACCACCCCAATTGATCGGAGCAATCGCAGGTCCGGTCGTGTCGATCGGCACCCGGCTACCACACGAGGCACCACGAGTCTCCGGTGAGCCCAGTCTCCGCTGTTGGTCTTCCGTGTCGAGTCCGCTTCGGTGGTATCTCCAACACCGGAGCGGCTGGAACCGTGTAGAAGCGTCTATTTTTTTAACCACCTATACTGAGGACCAATGACTTAGGACTTGTTGGTCCCAATGACAGTCAATGACATGGGTAGTTGCCAGGGCGGTTGTCCCAAGTCATCATGAACCAGGAAAAATGGGACCTGAGGGAAATGCAAAGCAATATGACATTCACATATCATATTCTGTCACCGAAGCAGCCACCCACATCCACATGATATATCCACATGATCCAACGGAGACAAAAAATGGCGGTGGTCCACTCGACATCACCAAGAGGCCAAAGCGCTTGTGGGGGCACACCGTGGCAAAGAGCCCATTCAGGTGCCTGCGCACACACGAGCCACCGAGCCACCAAAACATACCAAAACCACCGTGTAACATACTCGGCCGAGTTTAGTCAGTCAATGGGTCGGCTTCGCTTCTCCATCCATGAGCACCGCCAATCTCATTTGCCTTGCCAGGCCTCATGTGACTGCTCTGCAGCCCTCCCACTACCAGGCGCGAGCCCACACGCCAATCTTGATGAACCTCAGGCGTCACCACGCGCGCTGCGTGGTGGTGAACCCCGCGCCACGCGTGCACAACGCAGCCGATGAGAAAGGCAGCCAGGGTCCCGGTGTCCAACGGTCCGGCACGACGTGAACCCCAAAGGGCCGAAGAACTGGAACCGGACGAAGAAACACGTGCCTTCATATGCATGTAGAGGTACCTATATATATGAGTATAAGTCTATTTCATTGTTGATATCAAAACATGTAATTATATAAAACACACGTATACTTGAAGTCATCTAGTTGGCACCTTTCGATGACGCATCTCCCCACCGCATCTCCCACCGCCCAGTCTGCGCAGCGAGCGGCCGGTATGATCTCCCGGAAGTCCACGGAGCACTCGCCCACGACGAAGGACCGGGAGTCGTCCAGCACAGCGACCTATGCAAGGCGCGCGGCGGAGCGTGTGGAGGTCACGGAAAACGTCGAGTGGGAGTAGAAGAGTTACATGGTACAAATCTGCGTAGTTCTACTGTAAGAGATGTTGTAGCATACCAGCAGTCCAAACGAATTCAACATGAAGAAGTCTACTGGATATCGGAATGGATGGGTCTTTTGAAAGAGGGTGCACTCTGGCAGATTCACATTGGAACCTGAAAAACCACAGGTTTGTAGGGGGAAATAGTCTTCCAAAGGTCCATTTTCAGGTTCTATGTTATTCTTCCCGGGTGTAAGCATTCAGAATGGAATGGAACTGATATACACGGAATGGACCATGTATGAAAATGACCCGTGAAAATGACCCATACATGTATATCAATGTCTGTTATGCAAATATGTACAGTATTGTACAGTATATGTATTACCAGGATGGTATCAAATGGGTGTCTAATGAAGATGCATGCTTGGTCACTCATTGGATGATCCAGTATATATATATATATATGATCATGGATGGGTCCTTTTGATGGGTCCTTTTGTGTCATGTTCATGCTTGGATGGTTAATACCCAGATTTCTGGCTCAGGTGAACAACGGTGAATGTTAAGGGGAAATCGGTCAGGACCTTCCAACGCAATCAGTGAGACCTCGGTCATGTCGGAGGCTTCCTGGTCATGTCGCCTAGGGTTTTGGATGAGTTCACCTACCGTACGGACCGTATACCGTATACCATACACCTGGAGCAGTTTCAGTTCACCGGCTCTGAAAGCGGCCGGATGGACCTTCCAGTCTGTGTGATTGAGCTTGGATAGCCCCAAAAAGAGCGCTGTGGGTCCAAAGCCGGAGCCTTCAAACCCTGGTAGGTTGATCTCCCTACCAGTCTATTGAGTCTATGGTGTTCATTCTCTGTGGTCCACCAGGCTTTTTCTGGGTGCCATGACCCACAGTCACATCCACCCAAAAGGACACGCTCACGTCTCACCACGCGCCACGTCTCACCCCGTCCGCCGAACAAGTCGTCTCTGCCCCCCCGGGCGTTGCAAAAGTCGCTGTGGACCTCCTGGAGGCGATGGGCGGTGTTGCAAAGGCCGGGCCTAAAGCAAACCCAAACGAGACCTGACTGAAACCCAGATATGGAGTGGCTATGAGTGGCTAGTAGTTTTCACCCATTGCTCACCTACATGGAGTGGCCATGAGTGGCAATTGGTGTTAAACTCTTTCATACATGGAGTGTGGGGGGGGGCAAACACGTTCCACTTCGTCAAAGCCCGTTGATGTTTGGAGGGCGATCATGTCGACTGGCAAGAGCTCACATGCGTTCAACTGCTTGCCAAAACACCGCAGAACCCCCTCGGCCCTCGGCCCCTTTTTGGGGGAACGCCATGCGCAGGGTTTGGGGAACGCTCTCGTGCAGCTCCCACGCTCTCCACGTCACTCCGACGTCGCATGGGTTGCGGCCACCGAACGGCCTCCGAACGCACCGGCCGCGGCGACGCTTCAGCTCTGGGACGAAGCGGTACCAAAGAAGGTGCTCGGGGGAGGTTGGGGGGTCAAAGTAAGAGCTGGCTTCACTGCAAAGGGTACAGTACTAGATGGTGGTTGATCATGATTGTTTTGTGACTAGGCGTTGATCCCAGAGTGAATTTGAGGGTTACCAGTTTGGGCAAGTTTGAGTATGAGTTGAAGCGTCATTCCACAAGAGTTGCCCCCTGAGGAGCGCTGCTGAGACCTGCAAGCATCTGACAGCAAGGCCCAGCAGCAGCTATGACAAGGCCTTCTCCCGAGAACGGCCTAAAAAGTCATAGGCTTCCAGTTGCCCATCACATCATCCCCAGTTAGCACGAGGAAAATGGTGCAAACAAAGAATTGTCGCTGTCCTGAGAACGTCCCAGCTGATGTTCCCCAAATGTCACAACTGTGTTCGTAGATGTTCGTAGTCTAAGCGAACATCTTACAGTATACTGTTGGTAGAAGACTTCGGCAACAATACCTTGACCTTTACCTTATTCTTTCTGATGTCAACGGAAATGGTTTGGTTGTTTGGTTCGTTCATCGGATTCCGTATTGATTTTGGCTTTAGCTCACCTGATGCATCACACATATATAATATATAATCACCCCACGTCTGTCGAACAACAGTAAAGAACAATGTAAGGACTTGTGTCAAACAACATTATTATACATGCAGCAGATTTGTTGGGTGCGTCGATGTTACGGAAGTTGATGGGCTCTATGCTACTGACAGTAGTTCCAATTCCTGGTGAGTCAAAGGCGAATGAAGCCTTGAACCATAATTAACAGGCGAACCAATCCAAATCTCGAGGCATATCTTTGGGCCAACATGAACGTCATAAACTTGTGGCTCAATCTCGCCATAACTCCATATCTGGGAATCCATCTGGTGATTTCTTCCAACATCTGTGCAAAAAACACAAAGGGTGTTTCGTGTAAATAAGTTATATATTTATATATATAGAGAGAGAGAGGGAGAGAGGCCTCACCTCAAAATAGGCACTGCTAATAGAGACCAGCAAACTGGGGATCCTGTCATGTACCAGAAGACGCCATCCCACACTTCAGCTTCAAACAATTCCGTAGGTCTGTCTATCGGCCTTTCACGAAAACGACTTCGTGAAACGGTCCAGCGACAAAAGCACGCCTTCTTCGTGCTTGGGAACACGCTGGTCTTTTCCACTGGGGTACTCGACCAAACCGTAAAAATTCAACCAAACAGGGACAGCGCAGGACATTCAAAGTGGAAACAGTCCTGCCAAGAGTCCTGCCAGCCGTCACCCTGCTCCACCGAATCCTCGGGCTCATCCTCTTAATGGGCCCTCTTCTAGGAGCGGGTCTCACTGGTTTCCAGCAGTTCCTGATTGGACTATTGAGCCAGCAACACGAGTTGAGGAAATAGAAGTGTTCATCCCTCAAGTCAATCCAAGAGTGATCCCCAAACCAAGTCAGTGAATCGGTTGGGGCCCTTTATGGATTCCATCTCTAGAATTGATCCACGGCCCTCTGAAAAAAGAAGGGCCTTCAAATTTGATTTGACACTTCGATGGCCGGTGCCGCCGGTGCCGGGGGCTCGACACCCGGCCGCGTGAACGTGCGAAAGGCGACGGCTGCCGCGAAGTGGTGCCACAGGAGCTCCGCTCCACCGTGCGTGAGGAATGATAGGGTGGCCACGAGCAAGAAGTAGGCTAAGGACCAAAAGAAGCTGGCCCGATAAGCCTTGGTGGATGCCACGTGGGGTCAGACGGTTCGAATCCACGGGGACGAATGGACGAATGGACGGGGGCGGGGTTCTAGCAGATCTGAAGAAGAGCATGGGGGGACACCTGGACTCCACCACTATAGTAAACACTCCATGGACCGACCTATGTGACCTCTTTAAAGGGGTGGTTGAAGATAAACTGACTAGAACACCCCAATACCTATGACTGACTCCATGGAACGAGACCCCGTATTGGGCTGGTTCAAAGACCGAAAAGGGGCCAGGTCTAGGCGTATACTGACTCGCAGTCAGTGACGCACCTGGTGGACCTCTAAAGGAATGGTTTTGGACCCTAAAGAGTGAGTTAATAGGGGAATTCCTGATCGCGCCAGTCAGCGAACCTTAGGGTCTCCTGGAAGATTTCTATGTCTACATGTCGACCCCTTGTCTTAGCGACTCAGAAGGCACTCGCGTCGACCCGCATTTCGGGAAGGACATCGCCAAGGCACCACGATCCAGTTATAATATCCACGGTCCGGGTGGGCATTTCGGGAGGGAGACTCGTCCAATGGGTAGACCAATTCGTTGATGTCCCTTTCTTCCAGGGGGGCATTGCCTGGGAGGTCTCCCACTTTGACAGCTGAGATCAGCTGAGCAGCGGTGCTGCCCAGCATCATGCCACCGAAGACCACCAAAGCAAACACGACGAAGGTCAAGAAAGTCCTCACCACCAGGGCGACAGGGACTGGAAGAGGAACACATACATTTGCCATACTTTGCCCCCATGACCCATTGTCGGATCCGAAAGAAAAACAAATGTAATATAGTCCCATGGATGGTCTGGACATGGTCATGTTGATGGGAACTTACAAACATTGACCCCCCGTTGATGATCATTGATGCCCGGTATGTACCTCTTCCAGTCCCATCGATGGTCTGGACTCCAGTCGTTGCTGAGAAACTCCTCTCACGCGGAGCGGAACGATCGGGACTCGACAGAGAAGACAAGGATCCCCTTCGAAACACTGTGCTTGACATCCTCAAACCATGCATGTATGAAATAGTAGTTATACCTACGTTAGGGTCATAAACAATATTATCGTATGATTTTACATGTAACTTTGTTTATATTCCATACATAAATGGTCTGGGATCTATTTTACTATAATTATCTGTGTGTTCAAAAGGTGGATAAAAAGGTCATTTTTCAATATATTCTTCCCATGTTTATTATAGGTGCTTCATGATTACCCCTACACCAAGACCCACACAATTGACACAGTTAAGGTGTCTTGGGTCACAAGATTTCGTGGGCAAAAACCAAAAAGGCAAAACTCAAGCAATCTGACTGGTGATGCGTTTCTGCAACGTTGGGCATGCACTAGCGACTACCTCAGCTTCCTTAGCAAAAGCACTCAACCGTTGTTGCAGCCGTGTTTTCCCTGTCCATCTCAGATTGCACACAATCTGAGCGCGCGTAGTGCGAGCACGCGCCATGTCTCATTGGGAGTTTGAGTCCAAAATCCTGTCCGCCCAAAGACAGACACGATTAGAATGACTATCTATGGACCTATCGACCGATCAAAGGTTACAAGTTCAGCAACCTCTTGGGAACGTCATCGTGTTCTTTTCTTTTTTGGGGGGCTGTTAAACTCAAAAAGCTTTCACCGCCAACACCCTGGCAAGTGAGCCATCTGTATACCCCTCCAACACTCTGAGCACAGGTTTTAGGAGAGCTGTGGATGAATTGTTTCGCTCGCACAGGGAGGCCATGGAGCCCCGACCGTCAGACTGGAGATCAGACTGGTCCGGGAGTCTTCCCTCTGAAGGTGTTGGGTCAGAAACTTCTCCTATGGAGGCAAGGGTTCATAGGGTCAAAGATCTTGCGCTGCCAATTGGTCTGAGGTGAACACCTCAGCTGCCTCTGTGGACAAACAAATGAACACTTGCAGGACCGAAAGGTATGATCATCGGTCTGTGTGTACCAAAGCATGGAGCTTGCACCTAATCCCACATGATTGAATTGTTCTTTCCATTTTCAGCGCGACTACTGGAAGTAAAAGGGGGATAATGACAGCCCAACAAATTCTCGCCGTAGTCCATCGGTACTGCGCTCAGGGTTTAAGCTTGAGCAGTTGAGTAAGAAATTCATTCTATATAAACCCCGAAGGACTATGGGTCGAAGAGTATGCCTTTTCTGAGAAATACTTGTCAACCATCCCGTCGGTCTTTTTCGTAACGAGGTTCTGTACCAGTTCGAAGAACACGCCGGGCCGGAGTGGATGTGCGAAGCGATCACAAAGAAAAAGCGACAACTGGGCCAAGACCGTCGCATAGCAGGTGAACATGCCTGGGGCAGTCGCATCGAGATCGCGCGACTTGTCGCATGGGAGGTGAACTGGGTTTGAAGTCCACTTCTACTAGAACGTCCTGAAAAATTACATCAAGACTGAACCCCTTCGTTGCGAGGAGAAGGGGTAGAGAGGGTAAACCGTCGAAAAGCCCTGGAACATAGCCCTAACCAAAAACTCGCATTCTGTCATCTTCTCGAACATGCGTGCCATGGTCCGTTAAGCGTGTATATTGAGTAAAATGTGGACTCTTGATTAACAACCGTAATACCCCCCGATTTGGCCTCTTCATGTGGGTGGTTTATGAATCCTACAGTGACCAATCTTAAAATCACCCCCAATGTACACTCCGACTCACTAACATGAAGGTGCAAAATCCATCAAAATCCTCCATTCGTAAAGGAAAGTTGTCTTCCTTTCGGGACCATCCACTTCCATGTCATGTGTTCGTCAGGGTCTAAGCAAATCTTCCATACTACGCGTTCTTAGATCTTC